TGGCGGTCTGCTGGGGTTTCTGGCCCCAAGCCGTCAGCAGCAGCAGCAGCAGCAAACAGGTCAGACTGGTGAATGACTTACTGCTACGGTCCAAACTTCACCCTGGACGAGGAATACGGACCAATCGTACATGATAGAATAGAATTCAACTTTATTGTCATTGCACTGTCACATGTACAAAGCAACGAAATGTAGTTTGCATCTATTCAGAAGTGCTATACAGGATATAAATATTTATAAACAGTTGTACAAAGATATAAACAGAGAATATTGACGTGCTATAAATGTTTTGTACAATCACACTGGCAGACAGTGTGATGGATCAAGACACTGACATGGGACCGGGTCCCGAATCGTTTCATCAGAACCAGCAGGAAGTTCAGCAGCAGAAACTTGGCTGGATCAGAGTAACATGACCCAGCCTGGTCACCGGTTCTCCACACATTTCAGTTAACAACAAACAAAACAGCAGAATCAGAACAATAACTACACAAACAAAACACAGCTAATAGACTGCTCTCATTTTATTTATTTTTATAACTCTTTCACCGTTATGGAATGCTTCAGAAATATTCTCAGACATGATTTGTCAGATTTCTGATTCTACACATGCTCAGCTTTGGGAAAATTTGTTCTAACATTTCATCCATTGGGTTATTTGAACATTCAAACAAACCTGGAATTATGATTTTGTGTTCAATGACAATGAAAACTATTTTAGCGTATATTGATGCCAGGTGAAAATGTTTGACATTTTCAATGGTCACAATGTTATAATTTGAAGTGGTCTCGCAGCGCCCCCCAGTGGTAACCTCAAGCACTGCAGCAGCTGTCAGGTGAACGGTCCTTTTTACTGTAATTTACCATTTGAATTCCGACTTTAAAGGTTTCAATGGCCGAATACTCAAAATTTTAGTATTTCAATTACTTATAAGGTAGAATTGTTGTTTAAACGGGCATCTAAGCATTGAGTGCTTCGTGTTATTAGCTGTCAAGGCTAACGTTAGCACCAAACAAACAGCATTCCGATCAGGATAATGAGGCTGTGGGAACCCGGAAGGCCACGCCGACGGCTGAGGCCGACTGTGTTGACATGCTGCGCTGGTTTCGAACCAGCAACCGTCAGAACCACAGCCAAAAACGTCACCCTGAGGAAGGCTAAGCAGGGCCGGCGTGACAGCTCAACACAGCCGCTGCAGTCCCATAAACAGCCCCATAATTCCCGCTGAGCATCCCGGCTGCTCACCAAACCCACCCCGGTCCAGTCTTGGGACACCGGTTTAAAGAACCGTGGTCACCGCACTCTGCTAGCTACAACCTCAGCAGGATGCTAAGCGAGCTTAACCGAAGAAGATCTCGGTTAAGCTTTCTTGTTTATTTTCAAACAATAAATGGATACATATTTGATTCAAACTGGAAGCTGGGCTCTTCTGGGTGTTCGGAACCGAACAAAAACGGAGCTACGTCCCGGCGGAGCTCGACTGTTTCCGGACACCGACACTCACAGCTTTAGCTCCGGCTGCTCCGTTAGCGTTAGCTCTGCTGGCTAATTTTCTCCCTGACAGGACGGTTAACGGCAGCCCGCAGCCGAGAGGATCGAGCCTCCAGCGGTCGCAAGAGGCTGCGAGAGTCCCGGAACGATTATCCCTCACGAGAGCTTTCCACGCGTTTAAATGCCCACGACACGAACAATACTCACAATATTACGGATTGAGAAACAAAACAGCGGTCCTGATCCAGATCCGTTACGAGACACAGGAAGAAATATCACAGCAAACGCATTATTGTTGTTTTTCTCTGGAAATTAACATTAAAATTCAAGATGGCGGCCTGGCACAGGCGAGAGGGAGCCGCATCACAGCCATCCGACAGAAAATAGATCCCCGAAATACGCCAGCAGTTCCGTCGGATCCACGCCGAAACGAGACACTGCGCGTGAATAGGCCCAAGTAAAACACGGGGAGTGGACACCGTGGAACAATTTTTCTTTTATCTGTCATATTGAAGGAAAGTTAAATAGTTTCATTATGTTTTTTATATCCTGTCGGATGCACACACAAAAGTAGTGCTGCATAAACAAACATCTTTACGCACCAGAGTTCAGAGATGGTGAATGTTCGGTTCTGACAGGAGAACCGCAGCCGAACCCGACCAACAAACGAAGTTCGGCCCAAAATCATTTATAGAGTTTCACATCTGCTTCACGCTCACTTCCGCTGATAAGGGGGCGCTGCGGACCCAGGAGCATTTCCTCCAGCAAGCAGCTGGTCTGCTAATATTATTTGATTTCTAAAAAGTCATTTTTTGATTTCGGTCATTTTCGTGCAATCTCATTAGTTACCCGTACTTCAGTGTATTTTTTGCAACTTAATTTATTTCATATTGCCTCTACTTTATCTTATTTTGTTGAACTATTTCTATTTGATTGATAACTGCGTGTATATATATAAATTTGTATATTATTTTAAATTGTTCAGATTTTTAAATTTCAATTACTTTACTATTGTGTGCTTCTTTTACTTTATCAATTTAAACATATTATTCATAGCGTATTTTAAATGTAGTTGTTGTGATGTTACACCGCTCTTGTCCAGTGGATTGGAAATACACTGACACTCAGAACAAACTGAAAATGTTGTTTATAATTTGTATTTATTTCCATTTAGTTTAAAGTTTAATGATGCCAAACTTCATAATAGTCTTAGGAGAGTGTAGTAACTGCAATTTTAAATGTGGGCAGAGTTGAGAAGAAAAAAAGAATCGTAATAGAATGATTTACAATGAAGTTAAGTGAGAGCCAGACTGAGGTTATACAGGAAACTGGGCAGAATTTGATTTGAAAGCCCCATCCCAGTTATTTAGTAAAATTATCATAACTTTTAAAGTTTTATTTTGTGAAGAGATTGGATTTTGCAGGAGGTTGAAGTGAGCAGCTGATCAGACCGATCCGCTTTGGATCTAAGCTAGCTTCAGCAACATTGTGCATAACCAGAAACATGAGAGGAATCACACTCTGTGAACAAGAAGAAATCTTCAGCAGAACTAGAACGTCTGTCTGCTGGGATCAGGAGAAGCAGTGAGTTTCTTCAATGAAAAGAAAAACAGACAAAATTCAGCAGCAACATTGTTTTCAACGAAAGGTAGCTCTTTAAAATCCTCCTCTGTTCAGGTTGCGTATCATTGCCTGGGAGTATTAGGTTATTTTAACAAGCCAAGGTTATTTTGTTATAAAAGAACCTGAATAAAATTTCTGAAAGTCATTTATGGCAGGAGTGTCCAAGTGTGGCCCGAGGGCCTTTTGTGTCCCTGTGAAGTATTTTGGGCCCAAATGAAGCAAGTCTGGCCTGCAGTTTAGGTGGAAGTTGCAGGCGGAAACTTTTTCAGCCTATTTTTCAGATAAACAACATTAGGCACGGAAATATAGATTCCGATTTTTGTTTTTGTATTTATCTAGAAACCTAAACACTGACCTACTTTTTCAGTAGCTAATATTACTTAATATGTAAGAAAACAACCCAAAAAATGAAGAATTGTGGGCTTTCTTTATGTTTTGTGTCTACTATGGTTTTACATGTCTGCGTTCTCCAAAAATCCAAATGTAACATTTAAATTGCTCAGTTTATTATCAAGCAGCTAAAATAAAAAATTAGGCACCAAAAGTTTGTTTTAAAAATGTTATTAATATTTCAACAACTTTGGCCCTCATGACAAAAAGTTTGGACAGCTCTGAGTTATGCCCTTTTTTCTCCTATCCCTAACAAAGCTAGAAACATAAAGTTTTAATATTCTACTTGTTGTGTGTTTAGTGAAGCATCTGAAAGTTGCTGCAGTGATATTTTCTGACATGTTCCAGGTGCAGATCAGAGGAACACAGAGGAGTCCAGGAACCTTGACGTTTATCCTGGAGCGCTGCCCAGAATTGGCCCCAGGAACCTGAACTGTGTGGGCGCTAAGACTCCACAGCGGGATTTCAGTGATTTCACCGTGTTTTCAGGCATGTGGGCTGCATGATGTGTGAGAAGAAGCAGCTGCCATGGAAACCACCTAAATACCTTCTCCCCTGACAGTCCTTTGACCTTCTCCTGTCTGATGAAGATGATGCTGGAAGCTGAGCTCCAAAAATGATTGAAACATCATGTTTAATATGAATTCAGTCTGGGCTCAAGGAAAGCATAAAAAAAATAAGTACCAGTTAAGAATCTTCACTCTATTTTTAGCTTTAATCAGATTTACTGTAGTTTAATTAAATGTTGGTATATTTATTTAATATTAATATATTTTAGTTATTTGATCGATGCTTTAATTTCTTATCTTAACTTAATGCATTTAATTTTGTTTTAGTACATTATGACATTTTATTTTCTGTATTTTGATGATGGCTTCTTGTCTTAGTATTTGTTATTTAATATAATTTGGTGCAAAAGATCTTACTTTATGATTAGAATTAGCTGAATTAACAGGAAATATTAGAACTTTTTAGTCTAACAAATCTGTATTATTTTTGTAACTTTTTCTTATAATATTTTTAAATATATGGGCAATACAATTTCATTTATTTTCATGAAATTGTATTTTGAAATATTTGTCAGTAGGTTGATAAATATATTCAAGATTTGTTATTTACGTACATATTTTACTTTTGTATGTCATATTCATAGAAATGAATTGAAATTAATTTTATTACTGCAGTTTAACTTAAACATACTCTAAGTTATTGTTGTCAAAGGAATTTCATTTCATTCAATGTTGTTTTAATGCATTTTTGTTTTCTAATTAGATAAAGTTTTCAGCAAGATCACTGAATAAAATTTCACTTCAGAGTATTTAATTTTAAGTAGAAATTCATTTAGTTTTATCTTACTGCCTGTTATATTTCACTAAAAAAATGAGTATAAATTGTTTTACTAAAACATTTTTTCACCGACTTCAATCATTTTTCTATTTTATTTTGAGTTTTTTTGCACCTGCGGAAATACGTCACGCTTACGTCAGCGGTCGGAGTTGAATCGTTGACGCAGGCGGGCTCGTGGTGGCAAGAGGATTCGCGGGAAACGTGTAAAATCAAACGTGCGGAGCTTGAAGGCGCGCGGTGGGTCTTTCCGTGAACCGCACGCGCTTCCCGGGCAGAGAGCGGCGGTTGCGCGCGCGCGCGCGCGCTAGTACGTAGCAGCCTCGCGGCGGCGAAGGGACAAGAACGGAGCGGGAGAAATGGCGGAGCGGCCAGAGGACCTGAACCTTCCCAACGCGGTGATCACCCGCATCATCAAGGAGGCGGTGAGCGGCCGCCGAGCACCGGGGTGAGGAGGGAGGTTTCCCGCAGGCCAGGCCGGCCTTCGTGACGGGAGAGCGTGTTTATTTCCAGAGCGGTCCCGGTTCTGGTCAGTTTTGGTTCGGGATGTTTCCTAACATGACCAGAACCAAAGCTCTTCTCTGCCAGGGAGCTGAGAAGCTCCGCTGCTTGATTTCATCTCATGAAAATAAAAAACGACAAACTTCCGTATAACCCAACAGGTTTTACTTGGGGTCAGAGGTCACAGATCCTTAAAATTCAAATTCTGAGATAATTGCTCCTCCAGTAGAAAGTGATGAATTTGAGTAAAAGGGAAAAGGCATATTTGTGTCAAAGGCAAATTAAATGCTGTCATAACTCATCATTCAGTCATCTTCAGAGTCGATGTGATGCAAGTATCTCCAGTAGCAGTCAGCCTCGCTGTGACTGTTTTAGGCTTCTGACTGAAGACTGCTGCCGTCTCATAAGTCTGATGCTAACATCAATATCCACTTCTGAGATGCTAACTCGCTACTCCCAGTTGAAAAACACCTTGTTGCCATGGTTACACATAACTACAGTCTGAAAGGTAAAAAAAAAGCTAAAAAAGGATTTAAAGTAAATTCACAGCAAACAGAAACAATTCAACAAACAAAAAAACACTCAACCAGCAGAGCAGTTTCAACAGGCTGCCACCAGGAGGCGGTGTTCTGGAGCGCTTGATTCAAGTGATTTGGGTTTAATTTGAGCCCAGTTCTGACAGCAGCCAGAGTTCTGAACCGACCAGCGTCTATCAACAGCTGCTGACTGATACCAGACCCGGTAACGTGTAAACAGACCCGGTAACGTGTAAACAGACCCGGTAACGTGTAAACAGAACCAGTAACGTAAACAGAACCAGTAACGTGTAAACAGACCCGGTAACGTGTAAACAGAACCAGTAACGTGTAAACAGACCCGGTAACGTGTAAACAGAACCAGTAACGTGTAAACAGAACCAGTAACGTGTAAACAGAACCGGTAACGTGTAACAGACCCGGTAACAAACAGAACCAGTAACGTGTAAACAGACCCGGTAACGTGTAAACAGAACCAGTAACGTGTAAACAGAATCACTAGACAACTGGACCAGTTGTAACCAGAGCTAGCAGCGAGTCTCTCCACGGTGAAACTGTTTTATTGCTTTTGAACCAAACCAGTTCAGGTTTTTGTGGTTTTGGACCAAAGACCAAAATTATGCCTGCCGTAAACTCATTTCCCAATCTGGTGACGAAGTTTTTTTTCTGTTTCATTTGAATAATTAATTGATGGTAACTGGACGGGACCAGTTTAAAGCTCAGTGAGGATTTTCACGCTGACACATCAACATGCGAATGTTTCCTGCTGATGGGAGTGAAAAGAGCAGTTGCGAGCCAGCTTGTGTTTCCTGACCAGACGTGTGTTTAGAGATAACTCCTCCGCACCGTTTGTTTCCTCGCAGCTCCCAGATGGGGTGAACGTGTCCAAGAGGCCCGGCGCGCCATCTCCCAGGCGGCCAGCGTCTTCGTGCTGTATGCGACCTCCTGGTGGGTTTTTAACACGCTGCAGGGACCGGCGCGACTCTCGTCAAGCTCAACGTTTCTCTCCTGGTTTCAGCGCCAATAACTTTGCCATGAAGGCCAAGAGGAAGACGCTGAACGCAGGAGACGTGCTGGCAGCCATGGAGGAGATGGAGTTTGAGCGATTCCTGGAGCCGCTGCGGGACGCTCTGGAAGGTAAAGGACACGTCCGGCTGCGTCCCGACGCTCCCTCTCTGCTCTGAATCAGACGCTGCCGATTCACCAAACACAGAAACACAAATACTACAGAAAAACAATTCAAACACAGGAAACAAGCAAAATGGAGAACACTGAAAACTTGACAAACAAAACAAAGTCCTCCAGGCCACTAGGGGGAGTCTGGGTCAGTAATATTACCTTTGTAAGCATGCTGCTGCTCTATCATATTGCAAAATATATGAAGTAACTCATCTTTTCTGTTTCCTCCAACTCTGATCTCTTGCTGTTCAGCGCCCCCTACTGGAGTGGAGAACTTTTTCAGTTTGCAGCGCTTTGCCTTTTGTTCTTCCTGCAGTTGCTGCGTTTGTTTTGCATCACCCATGCTTATGCTGCACTTCTTCATCAGTCTGCAACGGACATAGTTCCTTCCCCTCTACTGTCCTTCCTTCACCGTCTCCGTCCTTTCCTAGTCTTTTCTTCTTTGTCCTTCAGCTGTTCTCTTCCCTACGTGTCCCTCTGTCCTTCCTGTCCTGAGGTTTAGACATGAAGAGATGATGGACCTACCAAGACTACTGTAGTGGCAGCATCATGCTGTGGGAATGAGGTCTGACCCGTCTGGTTTGTTCTCAGTGTACAAGAAAGACCAGCGGGGGAGGAAGGAGGTGAGCGAACAGAAACGCAGAGACAAGGAGAGGAAGGCCGACTCCGAGAACGACAAGAGCAGAGAGGAAGAGGAGGAAGAGGAGCAGCAGCGCATGGAGGAGGAGCCTGAGGAGGAAGCTGAGGAAGAGGAGGAGGACAACTGACCGTCCAACAGACTCGCTCGGTTCTGATCCGGTTCAGGCATTTTAACAGGAAAGCTTCAGCTGAACAACTCCAGACCGGAATTATCCGGACCGGAGTAGTTTGCCACTTTCTCCACATCTGTCAGGAATAAAGGAGCCGGACCGCCGCGCTGGAGCGGTTCTGATGTTCTCCATGTGGGTCAGAATCGTAGTTTTCATCAGTTTGTATTTTTGTAAACTTGTTTATGGCTGAAATATTTCAATAAATGTTTTGTATAAAACTGAAATCAGGATGTTTTATTCCATTACAGCCTTAAAATGCAACCATAAAAACCAGTTTCCCATAGAATAGTCAGGATTTATTTTGAAAATATCTAAGCTTTTACCTTCAAGTACTCATTTCAGATGTAATGAAAAATTTTGCTTTTTGTAGAGAATATGTTTGAAGTGTAGTTAAAACTTAAGTGAATAAAATTAGGCTTTTATTTTGGAGTACATTTAGGTATTCATTTAACTTTGATTCCAGTTTCTGTGTGAAGTAAATTTAAAAACAAAAACGGCATAATTCACCTCCTTGTGATTTAATGTCATTTCCTTCATTTGTTTTGACAGCATCAGTCCTCCATATAAAGATTAAATACATTTACATTCTTCACTGCAAAAAAGCAGCTTCAGTCCAGCCAAGTTACCAGCTGGTTCTTCACAGAACACTGAGTAGCAAACTGGAAAGTTCAGTGGAAGGGGAAACTACTGTAGAAACAGGGACGACGGAACCCTTGAATGTTGAACACCAGAAGCGCCAAAAGTGATTTACATACCTGACTGACACCTCAGTTTTTCCCTCCACTCAACTACAGTCACTCTGAATTTCCTGCTTTAGTAAAAATCATTCAGTTTTTTTTTCTTCTTTTTTTGAACAGACTTATTTCTTCATAAGTTCTGCATTCAGATACAATGACTGACACATTTAGTCAAAAAAAAACAAAAACATTAATTTCCAGTACAACCAATAAAAACAGTTGAACAATAACATCCAAACTATTCGGCGAGCTGAAGTTCCAAGGGATTTCTTTTTTCCTTCCCCTTTTTTCTATCCACCACTCCATGGAATATTAAGCACAAATGAAATACAAACATGAGATATGTAATAAAGGGACAAACTTTCTCAGTTAAACTTTTGCCTGCATCCTAACAGAGATATTTGTTAAAATTACCTATAAAATATGTATCTGTGTGTTACACTTATCTTACTACAATGTTAATTGCAAATATGTCATCAAAGGGTTCCATCTTTTCTTAAATAATCAGTGGACATATTTAGTTTTGCTGTTATTTTCTCCATTGTATAAACGTTCACTAGTCTCTCTTTCCATTGATTTACAGTAGGGAGTAAAGGTCTATACCAACATACTGTTATCATTTTTTTGGCTATGACTACAAGGACACCAAATAAGTACTGCTTCTCTTTACTTAAATTGCTTGGGGGTACTCCTAGAAGAAAGACCAGGGGTTCCAATCAATATAAGTGTGCAAAATATTTGAAATTTCCTCTCTAATTTCCTCCCAAAACTTTTTAATCTTTGGACAATCCCAAAAGACATGAGTGTGATCTCCAACTAGTCCGCACTGTCTCCAGCACAAATTTGATTTAGCTTGATCGAATTTTGAAATAATATATGGAGTTTTGAAATATCAAATGATTGTTTTCCAATAAAATTCTTTCCATGTTGGACTGTTAGTCAGTTTATGTCCTCTTACGCACACTCGTTACCACTCATCTTCTATCACAACATTCATTTCTAGTTCCCACCTTTCCTTTATCCCAGGAGGTCCCATTGATAGACATGACTGTAAACATTTGTATAGTTTCGACACAGTTTTATCTGATTTCTTTTCTTTGTGATCTTTATAAAGAATAGTTCTAAATCTGTAGGCCGTGATTCAAGAAGAGACCACTCAGTATGGGACATCAGGTAACTTCTTAACTGCAAATATCTATAAAAATCAGATGTAATCAACCCGTACTTCTCCTTGATTTGACTAAATGATTTCAGAATCTCCCCTTCAAACAAGTCATCAATAAAAATTAAATTCTTGTTTTGCCAGATTCGGAAACCTGGATCTTGTTGCCCTGGTATAAAGTCTATTATATCCACAAATTTTAAAGCTCTAGATATAGATTGAGGAGCTTTCATATCTTTTGTGTGCTTTTCATCCACGTATTTGTAATTTTGTACCTGTTCCAGGTTTCAGTAGAGCAAAATGTAAAGGTCTGTAATGAAAGTTTAGGACATGCACTTTGTTCTAGTGTCAGCCATGTTGTTTCTTATTCTGCACTAGCCACTCTACACTTGCATGTAGTTGTGCTGCCCATTAATATAATTTTAGATTCAGTACATTAAGACCTCCATTATACTTACCGCTGGTCAGTTGTGTAAATTTTATTCTGGCCTTTCTTTTCTGCCAAATAAATGTAGAAATCATTTTAAAATTTTGTTGTTGGAATCCAAATAGGAAGGGACATAAACAAATACAACAAATCTGGGGAGAATATTCATTTGATTGTTTCAATCCTTCCAAAAAGGAAAGCGTAGAATATCCCATCTTTGTAAGTCTTTTTGGATTTGATCCAGTAACTTCCCATAATTTGCTTTGTATAAATTGGAAACATCGGTGGAGATATTGACTCCCAAATATCGAAACCCTTTAGGTGACCAGTTGAATTTCACTAACTTGGATAATTCTGAGGGCCAAGTACCATTTAGCATCATGGCCTCTGATTTTGATTCATTTATTTTGTATCCGGCGACTACACTAAAGTCCTTCAGACATCTTAAAATATTTGGTATGGAAATTATTGGGTCTCTAATATACAGTATGATATCATCAGCATATAATGACAGTTTGTGAGTCCTAATTTTATCGTTCCGTTTTTTAAAAGCACCAGCAGGTTTCTATGAGTTTGATTTCTGCGTTTATTCACTAAAACGATTCTTTAAAGTTCAATCTTGTGCTGAAATCTATACTTCAGTTTTGGAGGCCCGGTTCAGAACCAGAACCAGGTTAATGGACCTTCTGAATATCAGACAGAACCCAGCAGCTCAGTTTCAACACACTTTATTCCAGAACCGCCATCTTTACTCTGACGGACATTCCACTTTCCCGCTGTTGATGTCATCAATGACATCATGAGGGGCGCGGCCATCGATGGTGCAGCCGACTGACTGAGCCGTGCCCAGGATCTCCTTGATGGTTCCTGAGGAAAAACAGAACCAAGAGTCCATTAGAGCCCGACCCATCCAGAACCGAACCCAATCGCAACAGATTTCTGGTTTGTTCCGGGCTTTTCGGCACAGAGCGGCCCACGGCACGGACCGCCCTGTTTCCTAAAGCCGGGTCACTCTGAGCCTCCACTGGACTGAACTCGGCCACCGGGTCAGGCCGGACCAGTGGCGGAGGCTTTGGGGGCGGGGCTAGAGTATGGGGGCGGGGCCTCACCTGAGAGCTCTCTGGCGATGGAGCGCGGCCTCATGACCCGGGCGATGCCAACGATCTCATCAAACGTGACGCTGCCACTGTGTTTGACTGGAAGAGCAGAAACAGATTCAACATGGCGGCCCAACAGGAAGTCCCTTCCTCCCCAACAGGAAGCCACTTACTGTTCTTGACCTTCTTCCTGTCGCGAGGCGGCTCCTTCAGAGCTTTGATGATCAGAGCAGAAGCGGAAGGAACCACTTCGATCTGAACAGAGACAGAACCCAATCAGAACCAGCAGGTCTAGTAACTGGCTCAGCACCAAATCAGAACCGTTTCAGGTAAACGGGTCATCCAGAACCTTCTTTGACTCTCTAGACCAATCAGAAAGTCCAGTTGGACCGAGACGATTCCGAGACAAGAAAAACCCGACAGGCTTTCTAAACTAATGGACCAGAGTCGGATTACACAGAATGCAGCCTAATCCCCCAAACCAGAACCGCTTCAGAACCTGCAGCGGTTCTGGACTCGGATTCATGCTGTCTGGAACTTTAGGATCTCGGCTCAAACTAAATTTATTGTTCTTGTATCGGCAGAGAAAAGGAGAAAAGGTTCTGGAGGGAAACCCGGCCGGGTTCTGTTGTGTTGGACGCACAGCGGCCTGCCGGTTCTGGATGGTCAGCTTCACGGTGATCCTCAGGCCCTTCCAGTCCCCGGTTGCCTTGGCGATGTCGTCACCGACTTTCTTTGGAGACTGAGGAAGGAAAATAGACCCGGTTAAAACCCAACGGTCCCATCAAAACCCAACGGTCCCATCAAAACCCAACGGTCCCATCAAAACCCAACGGTCCCATCAAAACCCAAAGGTCCCATCAAAACCCAAAGGTCCCATCAAAACCCAACGGTCCCATCAAAACCCAATGGTCCCAATCAAAACCCAACGGTCCCATCAAAACCCAGTCTGCCTGGTGTTCCGGGCTTTTCGGCACAGAGCGGCCCACGGCACGGACCGCCCTGTTTCCTAAAGCCGGGTCACTCTGAGCCTCCACTGGACTGAACTCGGCCACCGGGTCGGACCGGTCCAGTGGCGGGAGGCTGGGTCGGACCGGTCCAGTGGCGGGAGGCTGGGTCGGACCGGTCCAGTGGCGGGAGGCTGGGTCGGGCTCAACCGTTCTGAGTTCTGATACTCACCAGACCCAGAGGTCCGATTTTAGGAGCCAGCGCAGAGGTGGCGCCGACTTCCCCTCCTGTGCACCTCATGAAGACTGAAAGACAGGAAACAGAACCAGGATAACAAATGGTCCAGTACCGGGTCCAGCTGGTACGCAGAGGCTGTTGCTATGGTAACCAGCTTCACCCCGACTAGCATAACGAGTACACATCAAAGCTTCTGGCATTAAAACGAAGGTTCTGGTTCTGAAGGATGGAATCTGTTGTCAGGAAGTTAAATATGTACAGATCAGATCCATTTGTCAGCAGTGATCTGTTCATGTAGATGAGAATATTTTTACCCAGATTAACGCATCATATTGGAGCCATCGACTCTACAGACGGCCATGTTTGTTGGTCGGACATCTTGAATAATTTAACCACTATACCGAAACCTTCACTGATTAAACTGTTTCCTATTTTCGTCTCCATGGCAGAACTTTAAATGTTGCTTTTATTTTAAAATTTGATTGAACAAAATAATTTATCCCAACACCAGAACCTCTGAAGGTTTGGAGTGAGACAAAAATAGAGATCAAAAATTAAACATCAACAGCCAAGATATCATTTTTCCAAGTGAATTTGGGGTTTTAACATGATAAAG